ACCTGTGTGGTTGTACACCACATCTGTGATGCAAAGCATGCTCCACTCTTTCTTAAGTTTCTCCGTCAGGTTGCCCACATCCATCCAAGTGTAGTTCTTGCCAGGTGAGGAGAAATCAGGGTTCAGCTCCAGCTGATCAGCTATGGAGTAGCATGATCGTGATGCGCCTAGTTTCTGCAGAGGCGTGAAGTGGATCATATTGTAACCTGAACATTAAAAAAAAACAAAAAACCTTCATCTACTTTAGATGAATGGAGCTTTTTGTACCTTACATGGTTACATTTGGCCAAAAATAGCTTGTTGGATAGTTAGTGTTTCGCCATCTGGTGTTGAAACCATGGCGAAGAGGTTCATTCATCCATATCGCACAAATGGTGCGGGACAAGTTACACACCAAAGTTTAATACTTAGAGTTAGTGGTTTGTTCAAGTACTATGGGCAATAATAAAAGTTTGCCTTTTTTACAAAAAAACTTGTTTGCAGCTGTAAGGTGAAATTAATATTAATTTCACTTTTAATCTTGTTAATTGAAAAATGCTTGGTTGGACTGCCGAAAAACACAGGTACATTTGGCATGCATGCTAATACTTATTATTTACATGACTATGAAAAGCAGCAATAACCCAGAGATAGTCAAAGTGGATGAAGTTTAACCTGGTTTTATGTGAGACATGCCTTTTTTCTATGCATTAAACTCTATTACCCCCATAGTCACAGACAATAGGGAGTAAATACCCATTTTATAAACATTAGTAAATGTTTGTCATACATGAGTTTCAACAGATAGTGATTCATACCAGTTTCCTTGGCCACTCTGAGTCTGTCCAGCCATTCATCCAGAGGGCCCAAACACTTAGCAAGGTAAGTCTGAACTGTAATGCAATCGAGAGGCAGGATCTTCCTCTCATGACCAATACGCAACACTGGATCCACAACAATGTAGCCACCTCCGGTTCTTTCCTCGTTCCTGTATACACAATAGGGAAACACCTTTTTTCTCTGAAGGCAATTACAAACTGCCCAAATTCCAAGAAGTAAACGCAATAATACAACTCACTCACCCACACCCAAAGTAATACTGATAAGAGCCTGCAATCTCCAGGTCCAGTTTGCAGTATTTGTCTGAATCATCCTCTCTGCCGCTGGGGTTCACCCACTCCAGCTGATGGAAGCTGGAGCTGACGAACTTCTTGCCCGGTGCTGGGTAGTTGATGTGGACATGCACACTCTTACCCTGCAGGGTCGGGCCCAGGCGCAACTGAAGCTCAAAGCCTAAGTGAATTTTATGCGAGTCACATGAGAAAACTGCAGGGGGCGTTGCACAACCAATATCCCTGTAAAACTGAAACTTTAGATTAAATACTGCATTTATCAGTCAAGTTACATGCATCATAAATTATTGTGTTCAATCATGTATGTTGTAGTCCTTTTTTTTTTTAAATAAAAGGGTTTAAAAATGTACTTTTCATGTACTGTGTCATTTACGTTTTAGAACAAATAATATAAAACTTGAAAATCTTTAATATTCTATTTTACTCTTAAATATTTGCAGTTATCTATTAATTAAATATTTTCTTTATTTATCGTTTAAAGACACTGGTTATAAAACTGGTTATAGTGTTGTTTATGCATATATTGTTTGGGGTACAATAAAAAAAAAAAAAAAGATCTAACGCATGGCATTTTAATGCATATTTAAAAAAATTTGCAAAAAGCCAGTGCTAAATGGTGGAAATTGTAGAACATTTATATTGTACAACATAACACGAAAATCTCTTCAAGTAGACTGAGATCTTATTTTACCCATAAATCTAAGATATTTAAGCTATTTCACAAACTAATAAAAATTCAAGAGGGAACCCATGGCTTAGAAGTGTTAATGCTAAAAATAGTTTTAGGTAAGCAGTATGCTGGTATTCTATTCCATACAGAGCAACAAACTGACCTTTGTAAACTATATTTACGTTATCTGCACTGCAAAACCTAAGCACCACAGAAAATGGCACAGAACACCAGCACATTCCTCTGCTATATATAGCAGACAGCTTTTTGAATGTGATATTTGGTGCTCAAGCACCATGAGTAACACGTAAATCTATCCAAAGCTACTCCAGGGGTCCAAAGTGTTGAGTTGCAGAAAGTAATAAAGTAAGAGAAATAAGAGGGGAAGAATAAATTATGCGATTAACACCACCATTAAAAATGATACAATAAATATATAAAATAATAAAATAAACATCATGATGGCATAGATAATGATGACATTGCATTTGCAATGCACAACTGATTATAAAAAAGTAATTGTAACAATAAGACCTACCTTGCTCCAGGCGAAATAGAGTGCGCTCCAGTTTCTCCATGTTATTCAGGAGAAGCACTCGGGTCTGTTTGCCACGGAACATGTTGGCGGTGCTTTTTTGGGATGCCCTTTAAACACAGAAGAGGTTACCTCTGGATCCCCAAGAGCGCAGGCTGCCATATGATAACAACGAACAACATGTGAACAATCTGCTGCAACTGATACAGGCTAGTGGAGGATTTGCACGTTTCAGTTTCTCAACAATGTTTGCATAAAAATCTGACCTACTGATCTAACATGACTAGATAGATAGATAGACAGATAGATAGATAGATAGATACTGCAGTGTTACACAAATCACACAATTTACAAAATATACATCATGACTACTGTATATACTGTACATTATTTGAATTTTGCACAAATACAGACACATGAATAGTATATGATAAACATTGCATGATTAAAGAATTATTTGTTGAACACTTTATATTGCACACCTTTAAAAGCTAAATTGTAGGTATTGTTACAACATTTAATAAACATATTAAAGACTTTAAAAACAACAACAAAAGACTTATCTTGACACATGAAACCTCTTATTGGGATTTTTTACAATTGATAGTACATGACAAGCACTTCATGCATTAGTCTGTAAAGTAAATGTTAAAACAAGGTGCCATAACTTAAAATTAGCTATTGAAAGTTTAATTACCAGCAACATCCGACTCCTCACCTGAGTGTCACACGATGTTGGCCACAGAGTAGAACTTATGCGTCTAATAAGGTTATGCATCTGAGGTGACATGACCTTTCAGTGACCCTAAATATAGCCAGCACCTTTGGAGCAGTGTTGCCAATTTGGGGATTTTGTCGCCAAATTTAGCTACTTTCTCATTGTAGCTGCGACTTTTTTTTATTTTTTGCGACAAGTTGCTATTTTAGCTATATTTAAATAAAACTAGCGATTTTTTTGGAGATTTTTTATTTTTTACTTGGCCACACCCTGCCGTAGACACACGTGATAGTTGTCATACGGTGAATCTGGCCAATCGTGAAACTGCTGTGTCGTCATCAACGCTCCTGCAGCCGCTTTGGAGAAACTGCTCCTGCAGCCGCTCTGGAGAAACTGCGCCGGCTGAGTCAGCATTTGACAAGCATTTCCTAATTTCACTTCAGAATTTTTTGTTATACTTAATCTTTTGTTATATTTTTTTTATACTGTCATCATTTGTAAAGTGTATATACATATTTACTTTCTTTTATTTTTACCAAATTTACCTGTATTTACTTTGTTTTCATATCTGGCGACTTTTTGTGAAAAATGGAGACTTTTGAGGGTGGTTCTAGCGATTTTCTGAGGGAGGGGTTTGGCAACACTGCTTTGTGACATCTCACTGGTTACATCAGGCAAAGCCTGTGAGGAACATGCGTTGACCATGCAGCACAGGTGTGTTATGTAATATATTATTAATATAATTGTTATTGTTATCAATAATGGATATTTTATATCGAATTACTCATAATTTATTATTATTACTAGTGTATTTCAGCAAGTAACACAAGCAGAAGCTAACAACACGACTTGGATTACCTGAGGCGTAAGGCTCAGTGCCACAGGTAATCACGGCCATGCTGATTATTCGGTATTATAGAACTCTTGCTCATGTGATACTGCTTAAATTATTAGTATTATTATTACGACTACTTCGCTTGTGTTCACGAGAAAAAAACACCGACTGCGACCAGGGGTTGCCAGGTTTTGCTGCCCAAAACTAGCCCAATCGCGTTTCGGTGGGGGTCCTCCGGTAAAAATCGCGTTCCGGGGGGTAAAATACACATTTTTTGGCGTTGTTCCCTGGTAAAATACGCATTCCAGGGGCTAAACAGCTTGTTATTGGGGTCGCTTCAACCCGCGGACATGAAAAACAACCTGCAGGAACAGTGTTAAAGTAGCCAATATTCCTGCAGCCTTCAAACAAAACGCTACTCTGTCGCGACGAAGGAACAACTCAAGGCCAAACAAATTTGAGGACTGGAGCTAAGTACAATTACAAATATTTGTTACAAATAACAAAAATTTATTATTTGTTACAAATACCAATTAATTTAAAAAAAATCTAATAATGATAATAAACGCCCCTATTCTTTACTTTAAACTTCTACTTCCTGTCCTGAAATGTTTTTGAACTAGGGACGTTTATTATTATTATATATATATATATATATATATATATAGTAATGAAAGCCGAATAACTAGTGGAACTACACTGTATCCAGTTCGTTTGTCATTTATTTTAGCCCCACCCACACGTCTGTGGGAGAATCTTTGCGCACCAGTAGCCCGTCAGAGCAGAACACAAGATCCAGGGGGCGTGGTTGGATCCACATTTAGGGGGTGGAGATAGGTAGGTTTAGGGTGGAGATGGGTGGGTTTAGGGATCAGGGGGTGGAGACGGGTAGGTATATGTAAGGTAGGAGGAGTTGGATCTCGATCCAACCACGCCCCCTGGATCTGCAGTGAGGACTATCTCTTGCGCACGGCGTTCAGCCAATCACACGCCACTCCGCGAAGAGACCGCCCGTATCGTACCGCATGTCAGGCAACTCAAGTACAACCGCGTTTTCATTTTATGTGATAGTGCGATGGTAGTTTATTTTAAATGAATGGAGGTAAGCATATGTACTTGTTTTATCCTTCCGTCAGCATTTTATTGTGCTTACCTGTCTGTTTGGCCTGCTTATTTTTTGTACACATGTGCAGACGTCTCTCAACTAGGAAGTAGCTGCTGCTACAGTATCAGTGTAAAGGTGCTGTTTGTGTACATTTGATGCTTGTTTTTATGAAAGGGGTCGACGTTCTACTTTGCTTCCATTAACACTTTTATTCTTATCTATCTATATCAGTAGATGTCATCAGCCTGATGCACGAGACGAAACATGACCTTGACCCATATATCTCACTTTACATTAACAAAAGCCACCAGTGTATGTCATCAAAACTTCAACTTGAATGTGTGGCTTTATTATTTCTGCATTCATTTATATAGATCAGATCAGTGTCCATGAATGGTGAAGCTCTTCAGTCTTCTAGTACTGTTTTGGAGTCAGTAACAGTTGCAGCTCCGTCCTTATCTTTATTTGCAGGTTTCTCAGAAAAGGATGATTAGACAACAAGCATTTTTTTTTGGAACAAAATATTGTAACACACAGTTGACTATGCATTTTTATCAATGAATTATGAACATGAAGTTAAGTTCTATATATTCTGCCAACTCAAAGTAGTAGCATGTTTTTTGCAGGTGTACCATGCTACTACCACCTGTTTCAGCAATACTTGGATTGCTTGTCAAATTATCAGTGGTTTTGCAGTAAATATCTATTCATTACAGGTTCTCATGAATATGCGGATTGCATTGCTGCTGCTCTCAGTATGTTCAGAGACAGTCTTTTGCTTCAGTCATGGAAAAGTTGAAGTGGCTTGTGGGGACATGACACCCCAACATGACTCTGACCCCAGCACCAAACATCCACCATTCAACATCATAGCAGACAAATCCCAGTTCAGCCCAGGAGATGAAATCAAAGGTAGGAATGCTGTAGCAGTATTTTGATACTTTGTCATATGTTAAGGCTTTTAAAATATTGCAGATATATGTTGAAAATATATCAACTGTTGTTCATATTTACAGTGACATTATCAATGGCGTCTTCAGAGGGCAAACATTACTTTAAAGGATTCCTCATAGAAGCAAGAAATGCTGGGGATCTTAATGAAATCGTTGGATCGTTTAAGTTAATCAGTCCTGACATATCTCAGCTTCTTAAGTGTGACAATAAAGAGGTCAGTGATTGCAGAATCCTTTTATTGAGAACAAAATATTTACTACAAGACCTAAACAAATAACACTGTATACACTATATAGTATAACTAATTATACACAATAATTAAAATTATTAATGCACTCCGCCACATCCAGACCTGTACATAATTTTACATTGCGTACATTTGCTTAGTGACAAACATGATGCAGGACAACGACTCGTGTGGGATGTAGCCTATTAAAATGCAATTATATGCCCCCAAAATTTAAGATGGGTTTTTTTTCTTATATTTACATCATATGATATAGCTTAGCAATATCACACAAACAAGAGTGCTGTTTTTCCCTCATATCTGCACGATTGCAAATGTGATATTGGTTTTGTAATGTAGTTCAATAAACAAGAAGTTAATATTGTGTTAAATTTTAGACACAGTATTGCAAATATTGTCTGTTTTGCTCACTAATGTAAATAGTTCCAAATAGAGCCACAGCAGAACAGCGGTGTTTCGTTACGTTTTTGAACAAATTGAGTTAGCCAATGATTCGGTGACCCATTCTCTAGCTTCATTCTTGTATGAATCGGTTGTTTGAACAAATCGGATGAATGAATGACTCACTCATTAAGACTATATATATATGTATAAGTGAGTGTATATATTTTTTAGTATTCTAGTATTTGTTACTGACTCAATTAAATAATATATGAAATTAAAGTACAAAGTCCCTTTTTTTCTTCGTTATTCGTCATTTTCAATATTCACAGGGCTCTGCTGTGAGTCATACCAGTGATTCCCATAAGACTGAGGTCCAGGTGATCTGGGTAGCACCGTCGGACTCTCCTTCCAGTGTGCAGTTTCTGTAAGTATTCAATGCTGTTTTTACTCAACTTGTTAGTTATGAAAATTGATGTAGGTTTTCTTTACTTTCAGGGTAACTGTTGCTCGAGGCTATAAAGAATTTTGGGTGAAGATTCCAGGTCCCGTTTTGTCCCAAAATGGTGCAGCTCCTCCACCACAAACTACCTTTGGTGGGTCCATTGGTGCCCAAACTACCCAAACCACAACTTCCACAATACTGTCACGTTCGGTGAGTCAAACAATGATAAAGTTACTGGAGTGGCAGTTTACACACTGTCATGAGTTTGTGACCCTTTCAGCCTCAAAATATTTGGAATATCTAAATAATACTAATAAATAATATTCTCATCTCCTCTTCAGTTCACTTCTGAGGGCTGTGGAGGCAGCAAGTCCTGTCTGAGAGATCCAGAGGGCTGTGACCCACAAAATGACACTGCGTGTCACTTCCTGTCTTTTAGTGCATTGGGAAGTAGTGTGATGTTTGAGCTCAGTGGACCTGCAGAGGGTTATGTGTCCTTTGCCTTATCACAGGACAAATGGATGGTAATATAGACAGACGCTTATAATAATTTCCTATTTCACATCTTATTGTATTACAAATATTACTTTGACCTTTTGTAGCATGACACACACTATAATCTCTGGTGAATAAGTATGAAAACAGGGTTATTATAGTTAACTAAACTGTAAAAAATATTACCGTTGCTTGAAATAGAAAATACAAATAAATTAAATATTATGTGATAACATAAATAAAATATGAAAAAAATATATAAAATAACTCAAATTAAACTGAAATAAAAAATGACAACACAACAAAATTAATAAAACTTTATCTAAAATTAAAATGAAATCGAAAGATAAAAACTAATTCAAAATATTAATAAAAACTTTAATAGTTTATCTATGATAGTAAAATAACACTGTGTGAAATATTATTATGCCTTTGAATGAATAATAGTATGTATTAGCATAAATAATAGCAAATGTGTGTTACATTTCAGGGGAACGATGACGTCTATTTGTGTATTAGAGACACAGACAGAGTTGACATCAAGGCTGCATATGTTTCTGGACGGACACACCCAATAATCTCTTCACCGGTATAATTGTATTGATTGAACCGTGAAAATTTCTAACAAACAGCACACACAGAAGAAGATGATTAGCAGAATGTCAATGCTGTTCTTTTTCAAACAATGAAAGTGAATATTGACAACCGAGGTTTTTGGTTAATAGCAAAGTAAATAAATTTACTTCTGCTTCTCATACAATACTATCGTATGGCTTCAGAACATTCGGAAAATAAGCTGTATTGCTTTTCAATAATTTTTTAAGCTTGACAGCCCTGGTACTCTTTTTATGTTCAATGGAAGAAAGAAAGAACTATCTAAAACAATTAAATATAAAAAACTCCAAGAGATCATTAATATGCATTGCTCTGTGGTCTATTCATTCTTAGAACATTTTGAAAGGCATAGCATGGAGGCTCTCAGATGGAGTGATTCAGTGTAGCTTCTGCAGAGACATACACCTCCCACCTGAGAATCTGAATAGGTTCGATCTGGACCAGATGTACTACCTCTTTATGGCTCATGGTCGAGCTGAAGATGGTGAGATAAATTGCTTTTTTTGTTTCTTTGTTGTTGTTTGTTTTCATTGGTAAGTAGTGACAAAAGACTTGTTTCTCTTTTTCCAGGGCGAACCCATCGACATGACCACCAGCCTCTAATTTCAACCTATCCGGCAGGCATAACGGGACCTCCTGAGGATCTAACTGGTTCTCGATCACCCCTGCTCATTAAATATCATGGTGAGGACAAATAATAAAATTCTGCATACTGAATGTGATTTATAATATGCTATTAAGTGAGCTTTACAGTGCATTTCAATGCATTTAAATGTATCAAACAATTTTCACCTGGCCTGCAAAAAAAAAAAAAAAAAAAATCCTCTAAATTTACATTGACATTTACATTGAAGAATATCCTGCGGGTGGACATTTTGGGGCCCGAGTTGTCATTGTTATTTGAAACTATTAATAATTATTAGTTTGAATTGTTACAAAAAGCTGAAATAAAATAAAACATTAATATTAAATAAAAAAAATAACTTAAATGAAAATTAGAAATGTTGACATGGCATCTAACTGAAATAATTGGTTTATGTTTGGTTTAAATTGGTTTATGTTGAAGTACAAAAATTAGTAAACTAAAACTCAAATAAAAATTAATGCTAAATAAAAACAAAAATAGCAAAAGCACATAAAATTACTCAAACTTAAACTAAAAATAAAACTGAAAATATAAAAATAAAAGCAAAAATGTTAAGTACTGTGAGATCTCATGTTACAAAATATTCCGATTTAAAATAAATGCGATCAAATAAATGAAAATGTAAAAATAAATGCTAATTAAACATAGTATCATGTACTATAATAGTATATAAATAATACTAAAATAAAACAGTTTTGGGCTCTTGGGGCAGGAAACATCAATCAGCAAACACCCAGAACACGCTAGTAGTCTCATAGTAACGCCCTTGTGGCATCATTTACAAAAATCTAAAAGTTTTATAGATAACATCTGGTTTCTGTAGACTGATCTGAGACTCATTGTCTGTTTGTATCTACAGGGGCTTTCATGCTGATCGCCTGGACATCGACGGTCAGTGCTGGTGTCATCATGGCACGATACTTCAAACCCGATTGGCCTGAAAGGAATATTTTGGGGCAGAAGGTCTGGTTTCAGGTAGGTGCTTATTTGATACAATGAGGATTTCAGCAAAGTTTCACATGTGCATCATATTCAAGACTTCTGTTTCCACAGTTACATCGAATGCTAATGACCATCACAGTTCTGCTCACCTTGGTCGGCTTTGTTTTGCCTTTTATGTACAGAGGAGGCTGGAGCAAGGTAACACACACACCAACACGCACATAAATGTGAGTAATACTCATGCTTTAAGAGTGTGTCATATTTTCACCCCCTTCATCACACACCTCTGACTGTTCAACAGCGCTGCCAATGTGTCAGACCCACATGCTGTCTGCTCAGAATAAAAAGCAAGCGAATAAATATCCCATGTTCATTAGAAGCGACCCACCATGTGGCATCTTTTTGGCCCGTTTCTGAAAAACACACCCACTTTTCCTCAGGGATTAATCAAGCACAGTGTTGATTGAGTGTCTTATTAAGTCTGCAAGTGTTGGTTTATTTGAGCTTCAAACCGACACGTGTATCCATCCGTAAGGCTGAGCATGACGGACACATTTGTGACTCAACAGGGGCATCTGTGACATCCCTCTTGCCAAAGTATCTGTCAGGTTCTGTCACTTCCTGTGTATGACCAGCAGAGGACGCCCTGTTCCATGGCAACGGTCGCCAAACCCACCCACACACAAAATAATACCTATTAACCTTGTACTTTTGCACCCTTTGAAAAGCTGTTTCCTGTCATAACTCATTTCTTCATGAAGTTTGTTGAATCAAAGTTTGTTGACAACTTTAGCTTCATGTGTACAGTGGATTCTAATCTGTATTGTGTTGTCCACAGCGTGCGGGCATACACCCCTATTTGGGCTGTGTTGTCATGGCACTCGCTGTCATCCAACCTGTCATGGCACTTTTCAGACCTGCGCCAGATGCCTCAAGGTAAATCCTGGTAACAGTACAGCGCATTCACAATACAGCCAAGAAAGGAAATGTCCAGAATGAACTATTAGCATACAAAGAAGTATTTACTATGTACTGCATATTATTTTCTGTTCTATTTTTTTCAGTATATTACACATTAAATATGTTACATTAAGTGTTTATGCTAAATTGTCACAATACATTGCTGTGTTGCCATATTGTTGTCAAATTGGGATGAAATGTCACACAATCTGGCAAATGTTGTGGATCATCTGGGTTTTCTATTACATAGTGTGTGAGAAATAGTATGAGAATTATGGTATTCTGAACATATACAGAGGTCTTAATTTGTTTTTATAAGGGTCTTTTAAATGCCTTTTATACACTGCTGTTTCAAAGAAATGAATACTTTTTTTTTTTCCAGCAAGGACACATTATTAAGTCACAGTAAAGACATGTATATGGTTACAAAAGATTTCTATTTTAAATAAGGTTCTGAAAAATATGTATCAGTTTATTATATATACAGTGGGTACGGAAAGTATTCAGACCCCCTTAAATTTTTCACTCTTTGTTATATTGCAGCCATTTGCTAAAATCATTTAAGTTAATTTTTTTTCCTCATTAATGTACACACAGCACCCCATATTTTAAGGCACACCTGTGCAATAATCATGTTGTCTAATCAGCATCTTGATATGCCTCACCTGTGAGGTGGATGGATTATCTTGGCAAAGGAGAAGTGCTCACTAACACAGATTTAGACAGATTTGTGAACAATATTTGAGAGAAATAGGCCTTTTGTGTACATAGAAAAAGTCTTAGATCTTTGAGTTCAGCTCATGAAAAATGGGGGCAAAAACAAAAGTGTTGCGTTTATAATTTTGTTCAGTGTATATAAATACCTGTATAGATATTATGCAGCACAACTGTTTTCAACATTGATAATAATAAGTAATATTTCTTGAGCACCAAATCAGCATATCAGAATGATTTCTGACTAATGGCTGCTACAAATTTGGCTTTGCTAATCACAGGAATAAATTACATTTTAAAATAAGTAAAAATAGAAAACAACTATTTTAAATTCTAATAATATTACATAATATAACTGTATAGTGTTTCATAATACTGTATTTTTGATCAAATAAATTCAGCCTTGGTGAGCATAAGAGACTTCTTTCAAAAACATTTTTAAAAAATCTTACCAATCCCAGATTTCTTACTGAACTGAACATTATACAAAGCATCTGAATCCTGTCAGTGATTATAATACTTTATAAAAATGTTGAACACACAATATGTATACTGCAAAAATAGTATGAGTTGTATGATGGTATGACATTTGAACATACACAAATCCCTTTTGTTTGTCAGGAGCTTTATTACTTGTGAACGGTGAACACAGTATACATATTGCAAAAGTTAGTATGACATTAAGTAATTCCAGTATACAGGGCTGTCTGTTGAGGTCTATACTATATTAGAAACAGTGTAGATCACTAATTCATAATATTGATTTTGATTCAAATAGTCATGTTTTTACATGTGTTTTCTGTATAACCTGCTCTCAGGAGATATATATTCAACTGGATGCATTTTGGGACAGGAACAGTAGCTCAAGTCGTGGCTGGTAAGAAGCAATGCTGTCAAAAGTCTCAAATGGGTTATTATGTCACTCAGATCCATTTTAACAACAATGCTGCCAACAGAAAGCGACTAAGTTCAATAAAATTGAGTTTTGACAATTTTATTTTTTTAATGTTTTTTTTATTGTAGCTGATTGCGTATCATATAATATTTTATAGTTTACTTTTATGGAGGCTAGTCCTGTTTTTATGTCTGGTGTTATGATTTATAATATTAGTTCAGGGTGCCTGAAATATTAGCAGTATGTGTTATTAAACACTGTCATAACCAAGCTGTGTGTTTTCATGATTTAGTTGTCACCATCTTCCTCGGGATCCATCAGCAAGCTCTGTCCCTGCCTGCTCCGTGGTCCACAGGGGTCTTGGCATTCATTGTGGTGTGGTTTGTGCTGGCAGATTTGGTTCTGGAAGTCCATCGAAGGGGGTTTTTACCTATAGGTCAGTAAACCACCCTCAGACATGTGTTCTGTACCTGGATTCCTTTTCAGAGCATTTATTTATTGTATGAGTATTGTTTCTTTGCATCTATGCAGGAAATCGGTTGTGCTGTATGAATCCATTAAATTGTAAAAGGTTTTATTATACTGCATTAGTACTTGACATGTTGGGTTGAATGCTAATCAGTTTGAAATGCCACAACCTTTCAGAGCAAAACAATATGTTTTTAAACTAGAAAAAAATACATGTTATTTGTGGATGCATTATTCTTTACTGTAAATGTGATTATTTCTTATATACAGTGCTGCTTGAAAGTTTGTGAACCTTTTAGAATTTTCTATATTTCTGCATAAATATGACCCAAAACATCATCAGATGTTCACAAAAGGTAGACTAAGAGAACCCAATCAAACAAATGAGACATTTTACAAAAATACATACTTTGTAAATTATTTATTGAGAAAAATTATCCAGTATTATATATCTGTGAGTGGCAAAAGTATGTGAAGTGCTTTCAGTATCTGGTGTGATCCTCTTGTGCAGCAATAACAGCAACTAAATGTTTCCGGTAACTGCTGATCAGTCCTGCAAAATGACTTGGAGGAAATTTAGCCCATTCCTCAGTACAGAACAGTGTCAACTCTGGGATGTCGGTGGGTTTCTTCACATGAACTGCAGAATTTGACTCAGTCATTCCAAAGCATCACCTTTGTTTTTCTTTAACCATTCATTGGTAGAACAACTTGTGTTCTTGGGGTCGTTGTCTTGCTGCATGACCCACTTTCTCTGGAGATTCAGTTCACAGACAGATGTCCTGACATTTTCCCTTAGAATTGGCTGGTATAATTCAGAATTCATTGTTTCATCAATGATGGCAATTTGTCTTGGCCCAGATGCAGCAAAACAGGCCCAAACCATGATACTACCACCACCATGTTTCACAGATGGGATAAGGTTTTATGCTTTAAGGTTTCAGTATGTTCTTTTCTCCAAACATAATGTTTCTCATTTAAACCAAAAAGTTTTTTTTTGTCTCATCCATCCACAAAACATTTTTCCAATAGCCCTCTGGCTTGTCCACATGTTCTTCAGCAAACTACAGATGGGCAGCAATGTTCTTTTTGGAGAGCAGTGGCTTTCTCCTTGCAACTTGTTCAGTGTTCTCCCGATGGTGGACTCATGAACATTAACATCAGCCAAAGTGAGAGAGACTTTTATTTGCTTAAAAGTTACCCTGGGATCCTTTGTCACTTCACGTAGTATTACACGTTTTGCTTTTGGAATGATCTTTGTTGATCGACCACTCCTGGGGAGGGTAACAATTGTCTTGAATTTCCTCCATTTGTACACAATCTGTCTGACTGTGGATTTGTGGATTCCAAACTCTTTAGAGATGGGTTTTATAACCTTTTCCAGTCTGATGAGCAACAACAGATCGTTTTCTGAGGTCCTCAGAAATCTCCTTTGTCCGTGCCATGATACACTTCCACAAACATGTGTTGTGAAGTTCAGGCTTTGCTAGATCCCGGTTCTTTAAATAAAACAGGGCACACACTGACACCTGATTGAAAACATCTCGGAACAGATGGAGCCTAATTTCACCATCAGATTAACTACTAATCCTACATACTTTTGTCACTCACAGATATGTAATATTGGATCAATTTCCTGAATAAATAAATGACCAAGTATAATATTTTGTCTCCTTTGTTTGATTGGGTTCTCTTTGTCTACCTTTAGGAATTGTGTGAATAACTGATGGTGCTTGGGTCATATTTATGCAGAAATTAAAAATTCTAAAAGGTATTATTATTTATTAATGGTAGTAGTGCATTTTATGTGTATGTGTTTTTCAGGTAAATATTTTAAAAATGTCAAAATCTACACTGAACATATCAATTCTGACGACAAAGAGGAGGTTGTGTTTGTTCCTGATGAGAATGATACTTATAGTGTGGTGAGTTGAGTTTGTGTTTACTTCTTCATGATAAACATGTGCATTTCATTAATGATATATTAATGCAATATGTCCATTGCATTTTCTTTTTTCTTTTTCCAGGAATCTTGTTTTAAAAACATAGTTCTGGCTATTTACCTCTGTGGAAATCTGGGATTTCTGACAACTCTCCTTTGGAGTATCAGAGCAGTATGACACAATCTCAGCAGTCGTTTCCACATTTAGTCTCTGGAACTTTCACTAATCGTGCCTATTTTAAAACAAGCCAAAGAAATATGGAGTAAGATTGATTTATGACGGGCCACCTGTCAATTTACAGTGATTATTAGAATGATTTTGTCTGATTTGAAATTAAATTTCTTGACTGCTTAGGTATAAATCAATTTAGTATATATTTTTTAGCACTTTTTGTAATTTATTTTTTATTATATACAGTGGGTACGGAAAGTATTCAGACCCCCCAGAGGATCCCCAAATCCATGTGTGAAAAACTTGTTGCATCTTTCCCAATAAGACTCATGGCTGTATTAGATCAAATGGGTGCTTCTACTAAATACTGAGCAGAGGGTCTGAATACTTAGGACCATGTTATATTTCAGTTTTTCTTTTTTAATAAATTTGCAAAAATGTCAACAATTCTGTGTTTTTCTGTCAATATGGGGTGCTGTGTGTACATTAATGAGGAAAAAAAATTAACTTAAATGATTTTAGCAAATGGCTGCAATATAACAAAGAGTGAAAAATTTAAGGGGGTCTGAATACTTTCCGTACCCACTGTATGTACACAATGGCTAACCCATAAAATTATTTGTAGTAAAGAACAATGTCAGCTTGTTATTTAAATGTCTGTTCCTGATCTGCTTTTTTAGGTTTTTATTGCATCTGAAGAACATCTTTCCTTTGTGTGATATTTGGTGACCGCATTTAATTAACAATGTTTACAGATCGGTCTTGATGCTGTGTATGTCTTTTTCTAAATATGAAATAATCATGTTTTAACCACCTTATTCTAGATTCTAGTGCCTAATATTGATTTGTGGATTTAAAGACTTACTGTTGCCTGAAATGTAAATATTATTAACAGTGTATCCATTCTGTACAAAGACTGAATATAGTTTGGATGAAGTGGACCATTTATTTGAAGTTGTTGCACAGATGACAATCTGTGACAGATCAATCACCTTTTTAAATAAAACTTGTGAAATTAAACTGTGTTGCTAGATTTCTCTTCTAGAATATGTTCATACATTTTGTATTAATATGTGTCTTTACACTGTTATTTTAGCCCTTTAGGATCATGGGTAGCTGTGCTGCTGGCTCTCTATTTTAAACTTTTGATGAATTAATTATTTCAAAGGCTGCAAAAGTAATGTGTGTGCAGTAATTCTGTGTATGAGGAAGTTTTTTAATACAAAGACGATATGGTGCGGTTCCTCGTCAACATAATCAACTGTTTTAGTATAAATCGACAACTGCCTTTAATTGACATTTATTTCTTAATTGTATTTTGAACACGGTTGTTCAAACGGTATGCAAAGCAAGTATTTTCTTGAGACTGACATGGATTCAAATTTTAGCAAGCAACACTGTTTTATAAGCATGGCGGTTTGACATAAATATACACAATCTGGACAACAAAGCAACAGGTCATTTTTAAATAATAGATTATTTTCTAAGATTAATATCATTACTAAATACTAGATTTAAGCTTTTCATACTAAGTATAACTGAAGTACTGAAATGTAATCTGGAAATGTAGTCCTATATTATTAGAGCAATCATGGCAATCAAATTCAGATCAATTCTTTAAAAAAGGAATAGTCCTTTGTCAAAAGATACTAATTGATCTGTTTTCAGTGATATTTAACAAAATACATAGATTTTGTATACATTTTCACTTAAATTTTATCCTAAAACCCTGTAATACTGCTTCATATTTTCATATAATTTAGGGATATACAAACATTGCCTTACAAGAAAATACAATATGAATATACAGTACATATTCTCCTCAACTTCGTAGACAAAACTAAAAATATGGTTTATAAGTCTCCAGATACCTCGTCAAAGAGGAATCACAAATATGCATGAAACGGTACATTCAAATAACATTTAGGCATCTCGGCATATGCAGATTTTTTTTTTCTGGATCAATAACAAAGTCACACAAGCAGCAGTAGCAAGTGTATATGCTGTCACAATAAACAGACGAGTGTGAGCATTGAAAATTCTCACGTAAAACAGCTGCAAAGTGATCAGTGTCCAATTTTATTCATTGTTCGCAAACTCCCCTGCCTCCCAGCGCAGCACCATGGAACTTTTACGTCGGCCTCCAGTATAGGGTTCAGGAAACTATAGGACAATGAAAGTGATTTGATTTTCAAATTTCTCTTTGAAAACATTTCTACAACCTCTGAGCAACCTAATATAAACAGTTTTATTTTTTAGTTACAGATCATATCAATTCCATATAGTAGATATATGTAACTAAATTCAACTTTTATTGTGACACTGCACATATGTTTTCATATACTTACTCGATGATCACATGACAAAGCTGAACGATCCATTCTGCATGTTCTCATTGGAGATGAAGGGGATGATTTACATTTAATTGGCACATCATCTGAAAATAAATTAACAACCAAGAATGAACAGATCATTTTCTGACGACATTTCATGACATGCATGTGTTTGCAGTCTTAGTGATGTTGTCATTACTTCAGATCAATGGAATGAAAAATGTTGTCTATTTCTCTGTTACCAAGCAGTACCTGAAAACGATGAGCTGTCCAAATGGTTTGGAGACATCAAGAAGTGATCCTTCGAGTAAATACTGGCCCTTTGATGCTTGAGTTCCTCTTCTCGCTGCTTCACCATCTTAATCTCCTCATCAACTAGAGATATCGAACTCCTGGACCGCAGCTTGAAAAACGGGTTGTTGAGGAACATCTTCTCCTGGGTTTCCTCAGAGACAGAATTCAAGTTTAACTCAGATGCACTTCGAATGATGAGGTTTGATGTCTCCAAAATGATGACATTAGGGCTGTCTTCAGGTCTCCAGTCAGCAGATTTGGAGGACACCATCTTTCCATGCCGTGGACTTGGAGGGAAAGGCTCTGGCTCAAGAATAATAACATTGTTGGCGCTCAAGTCTTGTTTCTGTGCGCTCTTGGTTGGTGAGGAGGTGATGATGAAAGAAGGCGTCTTGAGAGACTTGGATAAACTTTCCTCATCATCCTGGTCTTCAAACATCTTCCTTTTCTCATCAACTTCTTGGCATAGGTTTCCAGTGTTAAAGTTGGCAGTTCTTGGCCTCATCTGTACACAGTCACTGGAGTATGATTTTGACATTCCCCTCTCACGCCTCAGGTTCTCCTCACGCTCCATGGTTAGGCGAATCTCCTTCTCAATTGGGGTCTCTGGGTCATCAAACGGTGATCTGTAACTAGAGCCGTCCAGACCTGAATCCTCAGAGCAAGGGCTGAACTGGGTGTGCGCGTAATCCTCTACAAGCGTCAAGCTCTCAAGGTCCCTCTTGGGCCTTTCGATGTTGCGGACTGGAGTATACATGAAGCTGTGACTACCTTGGCAGGTGCCAGATCGAGTTGTTCGTGTGCTTGGATGGTGTGTCAAGTTTTTCGTTTGCTCTTCGATCTCTAGCCACTGTTGGCGAGCAACTTTGAAATCCACATGTTCTGTACTGACGTTCTCGCTTTTCATTTCCTGAATCACACAATAATCTTTCGGCACCTTTTTGCTGGAATCGGATTTGACAGAATCAAATGAATTGCTCTTGTGGGTTGCTGAGCCTCGTCCAAGCTCCTCATCGTCTTCGGAAATCTTGGACAAGCCGTGAAACAGTGTGGAAGGACTGTAAGATATCTCTTGCGGTTGCTGAACTGGCTCATTCTCCGGTTGTTCTAGCACTTCTTCTCCCAGCGGAACCTCCAGCTCTTCAGTTTCCTTTGAAACGTCCTCAGTATTCCATACTGCAGGTTTTTGAATAAAGAGTTCTTGTGCACTCAGCTCAAGGCTGTCAATGTAGGAATCATCATCTTCCTTATTTATGGAGGAAGAGAATATGCTCCTCCATTTCTCATCGTTTTCACTGTCCGATGACGCCGCAGCTATTTCGACCCGAAGACACTCTTCTAGTTCGTCTGGGTCACGGCAAGACTCTGTGGAGACATCTGACAGAACTTCCTCTCGGATGTAGTGCTCAAGGATGGTTTCTTCTGGATCCTCACATCCAAAACTTTCTAAGATGGCTTCTTGTGAGTTTATACCCAATGGGTCTAACATATCTCCATCGTCAACATTATCTGGTTGGGGTGCAATGTTCTCCAATGGTTCCTGTCTTAGTGAATCTTGCCTCTTATGCATGGCTTCATTCTCATATATGCTCTCAGCACTTGAAGGAGTGTCGGATATTGAAGAAGTAATTGACTCATTGCGGTAAAGTTCTTCTTGAGTATCCTCCAAGACAAGTGCCTCTTTTGGACTGCAAACATCTTCCAGATCATCAGCCTTGGTCTCCGTAGGAGGTAAGCCTGCTAAAATATCAGCCACAACTTTTGTACTAATGAACTCTAAAGCATCAGCATCATAACAGACTTGTTCATCTTTGTTTCCTGTGTCCTTGCTATCAGGTAACTCAGTCTCCAGGACTTCCATTTCACAGTCAATTATGTTTGCTGTGCCGGAGTTTTCACTTGTCTCCATGGTTACAGGCTCAGACAGGGACTTCAGCTCTGTATGCTCTGGATTCTCAGGATGAGAGCAACCTGCAATCTCTTCCAGTCTATCCACCTCTTCAGGCTCAGTCGTAGCTCCCTGCAGGAGAAAAAGACGACAAAGAAATTCACAAGCAGCAAGAGAAATCTCATTTCCCTAATCACCAAAACATTCACAGCATATCAAAGCTAATTTGCACCCACTCATGTTTAGTACAGATCTTATGTAATACATAATTTCCAAGGAAGTTTTTCAGGGCTTATTTCAGGGCTAAGTTTTCACTCTTGAGGGGGTTACCTGAGCTTCAGCTGATGTGGCTGAAAGCAATATTCTTTGCAAGAGGTTCTGAGGTTAAAATCTGCTTGACTGATAACTCACAAATAATTTAAAACCACTAAAACATTTAGAAATGGTGGCACATTTGATTGCATTCTGTGTTGAGTAATTTATTTCTGGTTCTTTAATGGTTCCATTAACAATTCGTTTAAATTTGAGGAACAAATGCAATTCTGTTGTTAATTTTAAATAAGAATGAATAAAAAATGAGGCACATTGTCTCCCGAGCCTTACGGTAGCCTATATAGTAGGCCTACAACCTCAATTAAGGTTAGTAGTAAGTGTGAGAATGCATGCTGCTGCAACTGATTCAAGTTTTTCTGTATTTCCAAAAAAACAGACTAATAAGAGTCCTGAGGGACCGGACTTCACTTGTTGATTCACTGGTTTTGATTCACCAAAAGATCCGACTCTTATGAATCAATATCTTGGCATTATGTTTGGAATTAGGCTTGATGTCGAGCTGTATTTTTGTGATTATCTAAAATGAACCGGCTCATTAGAGTCATTCGCTCGAGATTTAGACTTGTATGTTTCGCGCTAAAAATAATGAATGGGTCACACTTTTAGTAGGCTACCTTGCTCCGCCTGCATTAATGGAAGATATGCGATTCATCTGCCATGGCCGTTTACCGATAATGAAACTGAATATTATGCAAATAATTTAGGTCCCTTTTTTCGGACGGAACCTGTTCTGAATAAGAACAGATGCCGAATAGCGGTTGTGAGAGGGAAACATAACAGCCTATTTAATGTAAATGACTGGATAGTAGGCCTATTCTGAGGGAAATAACCTTACTGCAGTCACTTTTTTAAGTAGAACTGAGATCACATAATCACAAATTTTAATGGAAACTTTAATGGGTGAGTGAAGCACTCCTAAACACGTCAAGCAACACCTGTGTTTTTTTCCCTAAACTTGAGACTCAAATGTTGAAAGGCACCATGTTGTAATCAGGGTTGCCAGGTTTTCACAACAAGACCCGCCCAATCGCTACTCAAAACTAGCCCAAAACTAGCCCAATCGCATTTCGAGGGGGGCCCCCCGTTAAACATAGTTCTGGGGATAAAATACACCTGTTTTGGCGGGGTTCCCCTGGTAAAATTTGCATTCCATGGGCATGAAAAACAACCTGCGGCAACAGTGTTAAAGTCCCCATGAAATCAAAATTAAAGTTTTTTTAGTGTTAGTATTAATATGTTAGTATTAAGGTTATCTATAAGGCAGTGTGCTCCAAAACAGTGACAAAATTCGCCTTTAGAAGATATAAGCATTCAAAGCTTTTAGTTTGTCACTTCCGCCAAAACGGCTCAACAATTTTTTTGACGTCACATCGTACTTCATCTTCTCATCAAATCTTCTGACCAATCAAACGCTCTCTAGAAGCCGAAGCGCCCGCCCCCTACACTAGACGCTGAAGCTGCAGCTGAGATCGGTCACTTGTTCACAGTGTAGTATTTCCTGTACAGTTAATGGCACTTAGTGCACAATGTAGGTGATAGGGAACGATTCAGATAGTGTAAATATGCTTTCGATTGGTGCAAATGAGGTCTGGTTTCACGTTGTGCGAACCGCAGCAGCGCGCACAGTCTGATCCGGACTTTGGCTCCGGTCCAGAGATCCGATCGTACGGAGCTGATCATATGCATGAGTCGGCATATATGAAAAACTTTTAAAACTACACAGCCTCAGCATGATTATGACCACTATTTTGTTTTACTAAGAGTTTCATATTGAATCTAGGGGGTAATCTATTAGACTGTGGCTGTCAAATGCGGCTTTACCAAGTTTAACGGCTCTGACCCGTGCAGATATAAACAAAACGCTATTGGCTAATTTAAAAAGAGAGCGGGGCTCCTCGATATGTCCCGCCCTGTCTTCCTGTTTCAGTTGAAATTACGTCACCACATAGAATAACGCTGCGTGTTTCAAGGCACTTCAGGGGACCTTTAAAGTAGCCCAATTCCGCGGGGAAACCGCTGACTTGGCAACACTGCACTGGTTGTAATTGCACAGCACTTCAAAAACCAGGTTAGTTAAGTGTTAGTTTCATTCTGCATAGAAATTCTTACCTTTTGAGCTGACTCTGCCAAATCGCACCTTTTTTACATCTGTTTAACACATAGTGTGAAAGGTATTTTTAACGTGTACATACAGGAATTTGAAATTCACCATGGCTTCCTTGTGTATAATATGCAACATTTATACCCTAACTGAGATTATTCCAGTTTATAAGAAGAAAGTGGAAGCAATTACAGTGCACAGCATAAATGAGTACACCCCCTTTGATTATAAAAGATGTATTTTCTTAATGATCACTTATATAATTCATAGAAAGATGGCAAAATTTAAATGTATTAAACATATTCTTAATAAAACCAGAGACATACATGCCATTAATATCTGTAAAATAAGAAACTTAGCCAATTTTTGTTTAAATTAAGGATTGCAGAATTGAGTACAACCTAGATTTAATTCAACCAAGTGTAATATTCTAGAACTTAATATGTCCTCCATAACTCTTAAGTACATTGCTCTGACACTCTTGGCACTGAGTGTACAAGTTCATGACAAATTTTCACATCTGTGCTGTTTAACTCCTGGAGGACGACCTCCTTAAATGCCCTGGTCTTTAATGGGGAGTGTTGCTCAGCTCGTCTCTACAGAATCTCTCACAGCAGCTCAAGAGTGTTAAGATTGAGTGAAATACATGTCCACTGAAGGATTTTCAACTCAGAAGAATGAATATCTTCATTGTCATGTTAAAAAAAATGCCAGACAATGCAGAGAATGAGAAGAGGGTAGCGCAAAGAGTAATTGCTGAATTTGTTAAGTTTCAGAGGGGGTATACTAATTTATGCTGTGCACTGTATTTACTATTGCACTGAATCCTTTCACAAAAGTGGGTTATAGTAGGCAGAAATAAGTAGATTTATTATATAACACTGCAGAACTGGCTGTTCTCCTCATGCATGAAACTTTTGTCCCGCAGTTAATCAGCATATAAGGTCAAGTCAAGTCAAGTTTATTTGTACAGCGCTTTTCACGATACAAATCATTGCAAAGCAACTTTACAGCAAATTAAGTTTCTACAATATTATATTCTATAATATTATTATAATTATATAAGGCTCTGGATCAGACCAGAAAAGGAAGAGGAAGAAGAGAATCCCTTGAGGGCGGAATCCTCTGACTGAACATCCCCATTGACTCCCATTGACCACAGGTATTTTTTATTTTATTTTATTTTCATATAATTTATTTCATTTTCTATACATATTGAGAGGGCATATTATGTGAGAATTAACAATCATTCGCACATTGCATGTTGTTATTTGTCTTGTCTTGTTGATGCGCCACTGCAGAACATTTGATCATGGCAGCGTGGTTTGTTTACATGGATTTTTCTGATCTCATTCGTACCAACTGCCAAGTGCCAAAGTGATGTGTGATCTAACGCTCAAACTCTTTCTGACAGACAAAATCAGCTGCCATGGGTATTAGAAAGGAGATTTTTTTCCTCAGAACATCAAAACCACAATTACACACTTTCATGCTGAACATAAAATGATATCAGTACAATATGAAAGTTGTGCTGTAATCAAAATGCACAAATTGACGGCACCATTCATAGATTTCATAAACTGTTTACATCACTTTGAAATACTTCAGCCGTCTAGTTGTTCCTTGATGCCCGTTTGGTATAATTACCACCACTGTGTGAAAGTGTCCACAATCTTTCAAGCGACATGCTAATGCGACCACTAAAAACATTCACAATTCAGTGAAATTACCATCCACTTCAGTGCCTGCCCATTTCACCCCAATCAAGCTACACAAAGGCCATATCCTCATGAAAATGACGAGCGGTAAAGTGTTGCCTACCATGGCAACACCCCCCTACACGACTCCTCCTCTAGCAGCTCAGCTCGTGAGAAAACTTCAACACGCTCGCACCCTCTCCGTCTCAGCATTTGTGTCTTGACAATCTGTATTCCATAAATTATTCAGTGACAATAACATTTGCATTGAAGCCAGGCGGCGGTACCAGCGTGTCCCAGTACCTACCGTGAGCTTTAGAAACAGGAGCCAGAAGAAGATCATCTCCACCTTGCCAAGAAAATCTTTTCAGTGAAACCCGCAAGCACTCTGGGCTTGAGTAAATATGTTGTGGATGCATGGATAGGAAGTGAACTTGACTTGATATGGGACTTATTGGCAGAAATGTCATTGCAAGATGGTCTGATGTCACTGATGTTGGCGTGAGTGCACCTCAGGGCATCTTCCTGTTACATACGCTCAACTCTGATTGGTCACTCTAGTGTATTTCCACTAGCAGCTGCAGTTTTGGCTGGCTGATCAATAAGTGGCTTGTCAATGAGGTCATGTGTCACTTCCTGATGGATTTCCTTAAATTACTCTTTTCATAGGGAATGTAACAGTTGGGAATGGAGATATCACTAATTAATACAATCCAGAGATACATTTTGAACTGTTTCAGTATCAAATAGTTGTGCACATCATTGTGGTGAGCATAGGCCATTGAAAAGGAGCATTTCAGGCTCAAGGTTGTTCCATCCAGAATGAAATAATAACCTGCATGGAGCATCACAGTAACAGGTGCTGGGGGGCCATTCAGACATATGTGACTGGCACTGAGCCCTTGGATATGGAAAGGCAATGTTCTCAGATGAGAAAAAATATCACTATGCGGCATGAGAGCACTGCAGACTAAGATACAAATGTCTCAAATGGAGAATTTTGAGAGATTTATCAGCTTGAATGGAAAAATGGCTTGAATGATAATGTTTGTTTTATTTACAAAGTGACTATTAAAAATTAATTACATGTACTTTTTGAGAACTTATTTTGCGAAGCTGCTTGTAAAAAGTAAAAAGTGGCTTTAATACAGCAAGAGAATAAATATTAATAAATATTTGTGAATGATGTATAAATAATACTTTAGAACTTGAAAGAATATGAAAAGGAATATTATATATATATATATATATA